ATTGTTCTTTCAATACTCTTTCCGATTTTTCTCGCGTTTTTGGTTGCCTTTGGTTTTATCATCAATCATTGTGATCTAAAACATAGTCTAGTAATAGAGCTATCTAAACACTAAAAAGCCACAAAAAGCACAGGGTAAACAACATGCGGGAAAGACCTTCAGAACACAACCAAAAACACACCGAAAGACACTAAAGGCTAACACCGAAATCCATTCCAAGCATCCATAAAGCATTAAAAAGAAACATGCCATGCCAGCAATATAAGAATAAAAAAATCTCACCGAAATGCACGATAACCTGAGTAGAAAACTATTGGAGAGCGATCGATGCTCTCCGAGCCTCTTAGTCTATAATGCGCCGCAGTGCCAAACGGACAGTTAATTGAATTGCTAGTTTGTGTGTCTCCTTCCTCTCCCCGCGCGTGTGTACTTCACGTACGTCACCTTTGCCATCATTATGACGCCGGTCCGGTCGCATCGCGCCTACATCTTCCTTAATAATCTGGCCGCAGTAGCCCGGCAATATCGGTCATGCACGCACGTGCAGCCAGCTAGCTTACTGACTGCGTTTAGCACGACTCTATACGCGTGCAACTGCTGAAACACACAGCGGTGTGAGCGAGAGTTTATGTTCTCTATATATACACGATAACATGTTCTCTCTTTCTCCCTCCTTCCAACTTACCTCCCTCCTCTTCTCGCTCTCCCCCTCCTCTTTTAACCAGCTCGCCCCGAATATAAAGCAATATGCAATATCCGCGAGATAAAGATGATAGGACTAAGACGGAAGGAAAGCTGCAAAAGAAAGACAAACATGGATTTGCAGGTCATGCACGGCCAGCGACCCCGCCCGGAATGCATTGTAACGGTTCATGGAGCGGATGTCTTAACGTAATTAAGATCTTCTGGGGAAGGAAGCCCAGGACATTTTTATATTTTACCTGGGGAATGTTTATTCCAAGATTTATCGAAAAAGAATACTGTAACTCCCGTATGTAAAATGTTTTATATTCAGCTTATTAAATGTATAGTATTACATAAATGTTCATGATTGTTATTATAGCATACCTGTCTACAGGTATAGTATTAGTAATAAGTTGTATAATGAGAAATTAGTCACTATGTATTGTGCGGCTATTATTATTATAGAATTAGAAGCTTTCATTAGGATTATAATATCTCTAGCTGCCGGACAGAGGAAAGGAAAACGCTGCTCGAAGAAACAAACAATTGTACATGTATATTTACCTGAAATGCTTTATCCCCAATACTTTTCAATATATCTAACTGGGTATTATGTAAATGTTTTCTATTTAGTTATGAATGCTTATAGTGTTTGGATCTTATAGTATTTTATGAGTAATGTTCATGATTTTATATAGATACATGTATACATGTATAGTATCAGGAGTTAATAATGACAAATAATTTGTCATTATTAACTCTTGATAGTATAGTTAGTATTATATATTATGAACATTATTTATAATATTATATTAATTACGTACATAAGATGAGCCTCGCTACCGCTTCGTCGCGCCACAGTATACCTTCTGCTCAGCCAACACTCTATGAAGCTCATGTCCTGCCAAAAGAGCATTAATATATAAATAATTGGTATTATCAATGCGAATATCTGGTAACTATGTCTGATTGATACTGCTTGTAAATATCAATATCAATTAGTTAAATTTAATTATAACTTCACACACTATTGATATTATTGATACTTGATATTCTTGGATCAATTGCAGCTACACCACCGACCACACCACATACACACACACGCGCGCTACCGACAGCACGCCACGCACGCCCCACACAACGCACGCACGCATGCGCCTGGCCCGCAGGCAACTACAAACAGGTGGTGGCGGTTTTTGCTTAGGTTACGTTCTGATCATCAAATGCATAAAACAACATTTAAACAACAAAAGTTTCACCTGTGTTGAAACTCATTTGAAGACTTGAGAGTAAACAACATAATAGTGTTATTATCTTTCTATTCAGACTTAACTAGGAGGCATGGCTAACGCAGCGTAAAACTAGATTCACCGAATAATCTACACATAATATACTGTTAACAACGCGCTTTGCAGACAAAGAGAGAGCGGGGAGGGGAGCGCAGTTAGGCTTCGACTTTTTCTGGCGCGAATAAGAGGAAAGATGAGAAGAGTAGATGAGACTAGGAGACGAGAGAGAGGGGAAGGGAGGGAGGGAGCGGAGGGAGGGGAGGAGGCTAGGGAGATAGAGAGCCGCGCGCGCATGCAGCACTAAATGGTAGCACCTCCCCGAGTAGACTATAATGCGTGCCCTGCTAACAGCGCAAACTATGACATCGTTTCGCCTGGTATCGGGTAGCAGATAAGATATACGTCTTTGTCGGGGCCCAATATCCCTTCACACCTCGCTTCCGTGACGGCCTGCTAGCTGTCCCTCTTGATGGGAGCATACCCACCTATGCCGCCCACCCGGTAAGTGCACGCCGGCTGACACGATGAAGGGCTGACAAGTAATACGAGTGAGCAGGCCGGCATGAGCAGACGACCATAGCATAATTCTGGGTTCCCTCTATTAGATAACCCGATTGTACGGCACAGTATTCCCGCCGCGCTACTACTTTGTCAAAATCCCGGAATTGCCAATGCGCGTTACTTAACTATATAACCTTGCTTGAGACGAACTACAGTTAACATCGCTAGGCATACTGGGTTCCTTTCATATGGGTTAAAAGGGATGACACACCCACACTTCCGGCTGTCTCTCACGGCCGGTGCCAGATACCATATTCGATATGAAGCAGTACCTGGAAGGACGACGCGAGCTGACAGAGAGAGTGCCTCGGCCCATTCAACGAGGTAATGCAACGCGCTATCGTCACTTCACCGGCGGCGATTGAGAGGCCGGATCTTGCGGCTCACGACTCGCACAGGCCCGCATTCGGCCCGTTGCCGGAAATCCAGCGACACCGCCCAGCGGCCAGGCTATAGCATGGACCGGTGGGCCCGCGATCAGCAGAAACACCTGTGCACCAGCAAGGGCGTTACACCTGTATCACCGCCCTATAGGCCATCACCACCCGTCCGCTTTACGGCGCTCCCCGTGTGGAACATTGTACGCGGCAAGGGGGAGGCGCGCTATCGTGGCTGCGATCTTTGGTTATAGCCCAAAACTCATTCTGCCTCTCACAAAACTCAATTTTGTCAAACACAAAACATGCTGCGCATTCTATCAATCGTATACCCAGCACACCTCCACGATTTTGTAAACACAAATACTTCTTGTACGCAACCTGCCATGTTCCGCGATATGAAACTCCATGAATTGCCGGTTGTCGAACACCGGTTCCCACAAAAGTCTCCAAATTGCTATGTAAAACATCACAAATCTCAATCATTTGTTTAAACAACAAAACTCTAAACGTTCTGATCAGCACCGGTATCACAAAAACATCGATCATGATTTGTGCACACCCCAATACGGCTACGCATGTAAAGAGGCTACAATATATATATATTGAACATATATATAGATGCGCATATGTGTATTTGTATTTGTATAATTAAGTATTTCTATTTGTGCAATTAAGTAAGACGCGAGGTCATTTTCTTGTTGTTGGTGTTCTATATACTCATAGGAGCTTAGCCTTGACTTCGAAGTACGATTAAATGTTATATTTGTTTCGCGAAATGTATTACTATTAAAGGACGCGAATTCATATTTTTAACGTAGAATAGAAGCATCGAAAATTACATATCGCGTTCTCGTTTAATCTCACGCATATCTTATCTATGCTCTGATGGTCGGGACGACCATCTTGAAATAATGGGAGGAGATGTAGCGAGTAAAACACGCATGACGCGATGCGTGTTTATGACAGGTAAACCGCGTCTACGTTGGAGCCCACCTGTGGGGATAATTAAATTCGCGACACCGTTTAGGTGCGACACGAAATGAGGAAAGATAATAGAAGGACACTTGTTACGAAGTCACGACGTCACGCGAGTCCCGACGTCACAAGTCACAAGTCACGAAGTCGCACCGGGGGAAACGTGTACCTAAAAGACTTATAAGGGAACGGCCCTACCGTACTCGGGTAGAGCTTGGTCGTCCCTTAGACTATCCCTCGTTTCTACTCCCATCTTAACCGCACTTTCTGTCAACTTGTATTACCGTTGTTATGGCTGAGAATAAACGCCCGTGTGGTATGTTACTCATGTAGTTACTGTTTCCATCAGATGGTTTGTGTTATATCTCCTTTCCTACTACCCTTCTTACTACCCTTAGCCTTAGATTCATAGTAGATCCATGCGGCTCCTACGTAAGAAGACCGAGCTCCGTTACACTAGTGCAGCTGCTGCGTGTTGAATAGATGCGCCACAACCCGATCGTTAATCATGTGAGTTAACGCTAAGGGTATGCGGTTTACATCGAATTGACCGGCAAATTTGGGAGTATAAAGAAGGGACCTAAGCATGAAAAGTACACAGAAACACTAATTGTATTTTCATACATTTTATTTTGTACAAATAACACACAAATATACTATTTGCTGGTGCTTGGAATTCGTGACGTAGTCATAAACGTATAAATTAATATTGCCTGCTGCTAATCAAAATTTCCTGCTATGTCGTACTGCCACCTAGCCTAAACACTTTCTCGCCCCGTTGGCCACCACGATCAAAAGATGCCGCGAAAAAGGGGTTGAACTAGTTAGTGATCGAGAACAATATATAATATCTGATACATAATATCTGATACATAATTATAGTACAAAACACTTTGAATGTGATAGAAAAATTAAAACTAATAATTATAAACATATTCTGGTGGATCTAATGGCAACGCGCCACAGTGGATCCTGCGCACACGCGCGCGTTCACGTGCTGTTTTATCAGCTAATCGTTTCAACTCCCAAGAGTTCATAAGAACTGCGTCACGAACAAATATTACTATTTATCTCCTGATTTATATACAGCTATGAATATTGGGTACCATGCACTCGCCGATCAGAAAGTTATCAACATTTTTCACACAGTAGGCCCCTAACTGCATTTTTCACCCAGTGAATGTTTCACCGCACATTGAGGTCGGGGAGCGATCAAGAACGCGATAATGATTTAGTCGCAGTAACAGGTACGGAGTGGGGTGGGGGGCTGTCTCACTAGTGAGAGTTCGGCACTTGTCACCAGTGTTTACGCTAACCCGATAAAAATGCACTATGGTATGCAGTCGTTATACATAGTATCCACATCACATAGTCATAAAATAACATAAGTCACATAGAGCACACATCACATAGCACACATCATATAGCGCATAGCACAGCACAAACATCACACCACATACACATCACATGGCAGTCATGACAGTGTAGACGCTATAGCAGCCATATCACACAATCAAGTGTTCCATCTCTACCGGTTGGCCAGAATAGGCAGGGCAATATTGTAGCGATGCAAATTCATGCGAGTGTAGTGAGTTATTTACTTGCGTTTTACAGTGGTTTGTTACAAAATTTAACGTGGAAAGTTCGAGGGAAGCTGGCTTTAATTTCGGACGCTTTATAAAACTCTTCGAAGAGCACTTAGTACAAATGGTATATGGCCCTTAGAGTTATTAGCCGTGAGTCATTAGTCATTAGTTTTAACTCATTAGTTATTGACCATGAGCCGTCGGAGTTACGGCCATTGGACCCTCACTATAAGGAAGGCGGCCATAATAGTGTAACGCATGCAGAAATATAGAAACCAGGAAAGTTGCCAGCCAGCGGGTGGCGAGGATCTTAGAGTTTGGAAGCGTGCCATAATGGCGCAAGGGTGACCAGGTGGTCACTTGGCCGATCAATGTCCGAAAACCCACCAATAGGAGAGATAGGCAAGAGGACCGGCCCGCGAGGTAGAACAGGTGTCCACCAAAAAGCCACGCCCGAGATATATATAAGGTAGAGATCCGGAGAGGCGAAGGGGGAGATGTAGGAGAAAGAGACGGAGAAGTGTCACTAGCGTACTGTTGTGCTTATTTAATAAACGCCGCTACAATATCATCTATCAGTATTCAGTATGCCTCGACTATCGATGAACAGAGCTCTTAACTACTATAGCCTTTGCTGCACTACGTAGCCTATACATCGTGTACGCGCGTACGTAGAGCAACGGAGGATGTCACCATAGACCCATATTATTCTATACGCAGCATCTGGTAAGACCAGCTATAGGTAGTCTGCAGATCCCGTCTCTATTGTCAATCTCGTCAATCTCGCCAATCTCGTCGCTTTTTAATACTATAACTACAGCATATCTAGAGTGTCAATATATTAGTAGTCCATAGTAAACAGTGCACACGTCGCTTTGTAAAGATAGACAATGTAGTACATCTGACATTGAAAGCTGTACCGCAATCGCAGATGCACAGGTACGTTTTGTTGTAGATCTGCCGTTAGGAAAGAAACGACGAGAAATGTCATTACGCGAATTTCTCAAACATAAGCATTTTGCCGTAAAAATGCTCTAGATAGTACAACGTCTCTGTGTGAGACTTTGTCATTCACTGCCAGCTAATCACAACTGCAGAGGTTCGCCACGTGTTTCGTTGTCAATACATTCGATCGGACGATATAGTTAATTATTCAATCCGAACTGCATCATTTAATCTTAAGAAAGAAAATTAATACAGCGTCCTTCACAAGGCCAACGCAAAGCGTCATTTAAATAGATATCACATCGCTTACTACATAATTATTATAATAAAATATATTAATTACACGTGTGCCTACGACTCAATGTCGCTGGCCACCTATTGTATCTTCTGATTGTATTAAAATATCATTTTCTTAGGCACTTCCCAGGAGAACTCTGACCTGCCGAAATGTCCATAGGCACTCGTGCTTTGGTATATGGGTCTGCGTAGGTCCAATTCCCTGTTTGCATAAAAACCATCATTAAATAACTGAACACATTACTAAGTCATGCTGCATGCGTGCGCGTTGGACTCAGATGCAAGAGTTAATATATTCATAGGAAACTTGGGCCGCATGGATTGGTTTTGTTAAACTTCCAATTAACTGCAACTGATAACTGAATCTGGCGGAACTATTATCTCGACGTCAACGCGAACGCAAGTACAAGCACTAGTTCCCCTTACTCGTAACCCTAGCCCTAGATCTAGCCCTACCCAAGCCCCGTCAGGCTCCGAGACCAACGTCAATACACAACGGTCTACGAACAGTATAATATAACGGATTTTCGATAAATGACCACTTATTGGAGCCAGTCCTATCATTAATTCATGCGAAGACTTACTTAACGATACGTCCCGGTCTTAGATCGAAGTTGGACTTGACTATGTTGATCAGCTCCTTCTCGGACAAATCGGACGTTCCGTACGTGAATACACTCATCGCCAGTGGCTCGGCGATACTAATGGCGTACGACAACTGTGAAATATCGGTGAGAATATGCACGTTATACGCGGAGCATTTAGCAACCTGCGTATTATGGCATGCCTGATACAGATATAGAGAGTCGTTACGTAAATTGGAGATTTTGTTACGCGCCATTTTTTACCTATGCCCCGTGCTGAATCTCGGTTGAAACGTTAATGGCGTTTTTAATCGACATGCGTTTATAATAAAAGATTGAATCCACTCACAATGGGACGCGGGGGTTCACCGACCATTGGGCGTTAGGTATATCCCAAACTTTATACTTTATATTTATATATATCGGTTTTAATTATATTTTCTTTTAGTTATTGATTACTTTATTGCAAGATTAATGTCTCATTTACTGTGCGCGGTGTGGTGCACCCAGTGTAAGATCTCACCTGAATCAGACAGCGCCTGCACAGCCCGGCCTTCACTAGCGACTTGGCGACCCAGCGGGCTGCGTACGCTCCCGACCGATCGACCTTCGTGAAGTCTTTGCCGGAGAATGCTCCGCCACCGTGAGCTCCCCAGCCTCCGTACGTGTCGACGATGATCTTACGTCCTGTTAAACCGGCGTCACCCTGCGAGCGAAGATAACTAGTGATTAGATGGGAAGAGGGAGGTGTGTTGAAACGCACCGACTCCATAAACATCATTGGCAACATCAATAATAACTGTGACCGCAACCAAGAGAATATGTTATGTTATGGACGGACTGGTTGAATTATTGAATAATTAATTAATTAATTGGCTGATCAAATCGGGCGGCCCGATGGGTGGGTGGGCCCTGGATGGACGGACTGGCGGATTTATGTACGAACATATAGGTACAATGAGTATACTGGTATCTTTACCTGTGGGCCACCAATAATAAACCTGCCCGTGGGGTTTAGGTGGTAAATGGTATTTTCGTCGATGTACCTGCTTGGAATCGTTGTTTTGATGACCTACAAAATAAAATGTAAAACATAAAAATGCGTTTTCATTCAACGCATGTTTGCTTTTGCCCCGATTACATTACTCTCTCGCGCGCGCTTTCTCTCTTTCTCCCCCCCCCCCTCTCTCTCTCTCTCTCTCGCGCGCGCTCTCTCTCTCTCTCTCTTGCTCTCTCGCTCTCTATTTCTCTCTCGCGCGCTCTCGTCGTTTCTCTTCTCTTTTTCTCTCCCTCTTTCTTTTCCACGCTCTCCCGGCCGCTTTCTCCCTCCCTCATTGTTCTACTTTTTGACAGCGTGCAGCACGTACCAACTCGACTAGGTCCTTCCTCAGCTGTTCGTTAGTGACTTCTTCGTCGTGTTGGGTTGACACGACAATGGTATGAACTCTTAGAGGAACGCAAGCGCCATGCTCAAACATGTACTCACATGTAACCTGCAAGATTCGTTCGGCCCTTATAGCACAGATGGCAGTCGATACTGTTAGGTTTCAAGTGTCAAGTCGATGTGTTTTATTGGTCATCATTCAAAACGCATGTTTACCACGATGATAACTTTTGAGCGACCCATCTTTAACAGCTTTTATACGTAAGATAATCCGGGACAAAGCAGCCGCGTGTTACGTATACGCTTCTTACAGTCCTAGTCTTAGTGGGAATATATATCTGAATATATATAATATTATAGAGATTATTAGATATATAATCAATAGAATGCAATCGATCTAATAATCAATAGATTTTCTTGGCCAGCATCGTCATGGTATTAATTTTAAACGAGCAAGAATGTTAGGTCGCTTACCTGAGTCTTGGTATCGGGTCGAGCCCATGGCAGGGCCCCGCTTCTTCTCAATGTTGCAATCTTGTGGTTGAGCTTGTGGGCAAGCATTAACGTGAGCGGCATGCATTCATCCGTCTCGTCGGTCGCATAGCCGAACATGATTCCCTGTGAGTCGCAATCGTAAGAAATTGAAGGCAAATCTAATGCTGAAATCTATCCATTTCAAAATATTTACAACGAGAATCTGTTTTCAGTTTGATTTTTAAAAAGTTTTTTTTATCGCATAGTACCTATACAGCTGTAGACATCGCCTATGGATACATTGTTAGTATATATAATAGTCTATTACATTAATAATATACGCGCCCGCTGTCTAAAAACGGTAACGTTCAACTACCGTATAAATTGACTGCGAAATGTGATATGCACAGCTACATTGTACAACGGAGTGTAAGCCTACGCACCCCAACCACGTATCAGCTGTTCAGCTGGTTAGGTAAGACTCGGAAGCCTTCGTTTAGTACATAGGTTGTCGTATGACAATCTGCCAAATCATGCACCCTACCCACCTGGTCGCCTGCTCCAATGTCGTCCTCGTGTCTGTTCTCGTGCACGGCCTGAGCGATCTCGGAATTCTGTTGTTCTATAGCAATCAGCACGTTGCACGTGTGGTAGTCAAATCCTACGCACAGAGAAACCGACGGCTAAACCTCACCACTAGCACAAATTAGACGAGAAAACATTGTTGTTGCACATAGAACATGGCAACAGACGCACGCACATACGTACAAACACGCGCACGCACGCACGCACGCACGCACGCACGCACGCACACACACACACACACACACACATATATATATATATATACTAATTGTACGATACTTATCTCTTTAAGATTATTTACTCGTGATATATATATAATTATGTATTACACGGCAGTTATAATGCCGACGTCATGAATATTTCTAGCGTCTACCACGCGATAGTGTTGTGTTTACAGGCCGGCCTTAGGCCGAACATAAAATGGGCATAAAAAAACGCGAAACGTAACCGGTTTCCGTTCTAGAAGTTCGGCACAAATGCAGACGACGATTTGCTATACACGTGTGTGGCTTCTAACTAAAACTAAATAATGCAGAATGCGGCCTACCTTTCGTGGAATCGTCGTAGCCTATATGTTGAATTGTGTCACGGATGACTTTTTGATAGTCCACAACACCGTTTGACGTTATCTCGCCACATATCATTACCATGCCCGTCTTTGTGACTGTCTCTGTAAATGAATACAACGTGATTAGCTTGAGTTATACTATCATAGTGCCAGTTTATCTTGAATGATGCTTTTGTGCTTTTTAGGTATAAGACCATATGCACAACGTTTTTATTCATTAGAAGTGCAGGCTGATATATTGAGATAGAATGGCTTCCAGGAAATAGTTACCGCCATCTATTAGCCATGTTAGAAAAGTAATTTGTTATAGGCCTTTGCAGTTGCGATACGGTTTTACAAAACTCTTAAATACGTTTGTACAGTAAATGATATCATTACCATTATGCATAAATAATTTCATGCCTGGAATGAGAGAGACTGAGAGGGAGAAAGAGGAGAGAGGGTAGATTAGGAGTGAGACCGAGAGAGGGCGAGGGAGAGAAAGACAGAAAACGAAGGAGTATCACATGTTTTTCATTATTTAACAGCTCAAGCCCATGTTGATATATCCTTTGTTGTTGTACCGTCTTTAAATAATTAAATAAATAAATAAATTGACATGACTGCAGGCGAAGCATGATGGAAGGAAGAATAAATAAAGAGAATATGTGAGAAATGGAGCTTACCGCATGCGACCTTGGCGAAGGGGTCTTGCTTAAGGTGGGCATCCAACACAGCATCGCTAATTTGGTCGCATATTTTGTCTGTAAGTGTAAGCATCAAAGATAGGGTTACTCGTTTACGTATCATCTTCGTCAATAAAAGCTTTGCATATCCACTCAGAGTGGGGCTCTGATTTCCACATGATCTGGTACGTTCTTATGTTTGATCTTATCATTGTTTCATTATGCCTATAGCTTTCTATTAAGCCCATAGTTACGCTGAGGTGGTCTATGTCCCCCAGGGTACTGCCGGAACGTACCCTGGGTACGGTCCGGTATACCGGAACGTACCCTGGTACTATCTAATATGCCGGACCGTATCTCGCCTACTCCACTAACGAGTCTAGGGAGTCGCCTACGCCTACTCCCTAACCCTAACCCTAACCATATCAGATAGTTACCAGGGTACGTTCCGGCAGTACCCTGGGGGACATAGACCCTATATGAGCTATAGTTACAGGGCTTGGCAACGAGTGACGAAAACTCTGCCACGATCTTGGATGGTTCATCTTGTTGGGTGGATACGATATAGTCGTCACCAGCAGCGCCCCCTACTCCTAGCGAGAATGCATAAACGTGCACAACGATCTCTGTTTTTGGTCCCAACAAAGCCTGTCCAACTTGCGTGCCGCTTGTATCATGCAGGTTTCAACCAGTACCAACCAGATGTGTTGTCAGATGTGTGTCACCACGTTATCGCGTAGTCGAGTTACGAGCAAACATGAATTAATGAGCGTCTTGAACGTGATAACATTGGATCTAGTTGCGTCCAGCGCGATCCGCCCGCCAAAGTGACGCTTTGGTGCAGTTTATCTACGAGCGAATAGCTTGGGGCTAAGATAATATTATGTCCTTCTGAAGGTCCCACAATAAATGTTTATTTTTATACGTTTCATAGCGAGTTCTCTTATCCTACCACGAAAACGTCCTACTTAAAGATGCCTCTCGTGTTTGACTTGTTGATTGCTGCACCCCTCGGGCATGTCCAATGTTGGCTATTGGCCAGGTAGCATATAAAAAGTGTGAAGCGGCTTCAGGCCATGGGCAAATACCCGCTATAACAGCTGTTTATAGGACATTGACAATAATAAATCATGATTACGGTGTACATACATCGATTGATTGGCCTAGCTATAGGCATGCCTCGCATGCGGTTAAATTATAAAATACAAAGTCTACTAGAAGGCTACGAATTACACCGTATGACATAGCGCAACATCGTAGAGACAAACGATGGGTGTAAATACGATAAAGGTCAACGCCCGCATCGGCGCTCCGGCGAACGTATAGAACGAAGATTGAATAGATAATTTCATTAATTTGTCATCATGTGATCGCACAAAATCCCCACCTCGCTATCTGGCAAAATTGTAATCAATATTGGATGCGCCGTATGTTTATTCGCGGTTGTAGCGGGTTGTTGATACATTGGCGATAACATCTACCCTCAGCATTTATCTATATTTACTGAACGATCGGTTAGGACCAGTTACGACCGGTATTTTGTAGGCAATATATATATATATATATATATATATATATATATATATATATATATATATATATATATATATAACATATTTGACGTTTGAGTCTGACGTCGTAATAACTAGTTTGTTTTTACTTCACGGGAACGCTTCTTACCTTCGTTACATTAATTCTAAACTTTTTGTCAGCATCTTCGGCTTTTCAGACCTCTCGATCTCACCACGTACCGCTCAAAGTTAAACATAGCGTATGTACTAAGATCGTATTGATTCTGACTTTTGCATTGGACGGATCGCAATGGAGCTAACGTGAATCATGTGTTGATTCAACATGCAGAAGGGTCAAAGATCTATTTCAATCTTAATCGCATTGTTCTTCCGCAAAGAAATTAGCAATAATGCATGTGTAAATGAAAATGTCTCGAACAAAATTAATGCACCAATGATTATCTATATGCCGCTCTCTGATTACTTGTACCCGTTATTAAGGCTCGCATAACATAAAACGAAAGTGTTCTGTCGTGTTTGCTTCTATGCACGGTATGTATACATATTAAAAAATATGCATGAATGGTATCCCGTAACAATAGGCACACGCGCAAAACTTGCTTACACATGAATAAACACGTGAATAAACACTAATGAACCGCGCACAAGCACACGGGTTTGTGTAACAATATTTCCTTATATTCTTATAGTTTATGAACACTTGCGTGCACATGCAATCAGAATCTTTAATGAACAATACTGCCAAATATACCGCCAATACAATCACAATATTGATACGATACTGATTGCGCAATTCGTGACACTGAAGGCGGCGCACGGAGAAGGTAGTAACTATATGTGTAGGGTGAGGGGTAGAAGTAAGCGCCAGGTAGTCGCGTTAAATGACTACTTACCGGAGGTTCCGTGATACCTAAAATATATCACTCAGTATAGACTAGGAAAGGCGTGGGCTGCGACCACACCCGCATACACGCAACTGTTAATGTGGGTAAAACTAATGAACACTAATGGAGGAACACAATTCTGATCATGCCAGAAATAACCACCGTTAACGGACCTCATACATGTTTGGGTGACCTAAATACGACATCTTTTTCTGCAGAAATGAAAATGCACTCAAACCTCTACCATCCATCCAACCCCTACCGGACCATAGGTATATATATATATATATATATATATAATACCTTTCATAGACGTTTTGATAGACTTTCAACCAATTTTACAGTTGTTTTTTTGGGGAAAAAGTGTATTTATATATATATATATATATATATATATATATATATACATTACCACATATCGTATGGAGCATACAACGTGTCCTAGAAATCGAGTCTTATCAAGTGCATGCACTGGCGGAGAGTGTACAATGATAGTATCAGGGGTTCAGCGGAAAGCTATATACTGCAAGTGAAGACTGTTTGAGATTATAATCCACGAGTCTCATTATAACTATCTAGCATCCTTTATTGACACATTTGCGGGACGATGTGGGTATAACGAAACGAATTGTGTACTTAATTGTACACTCAATTAATTGTGTACTTAATTACTCTCTCTCTCTCTCTCTCTCTCTCTCTCTCTCTCTCTCTCTCTCTCCCTCTCTGTCTATCTATCAACCAATCAATCTATCTATCTATCTATCTCTATATATATACACATATATATTATATATATGCTTGGTGTTTATTAGATTAAATCACGCATTCGAAATTTCGACACGCGGATAATAATTGTTAATAATAACTCGATGAGGGATGCGTACTTTCTCGAGTTCATTCACATATTCAATATATCTTTATAAGGGCAAGCTATAATATCTTACAAAGCTATAAGCCTCGTCTACACGACAAACCTTAACTCGAGTTAAGCTAACTCGAGTTAAGCGTTAACTCGAGTTAGCGATTATGTAGCGTCTACACGACAACACCTGATAGCGATTATTACCGATTTATTATGCATGCGTGCGTGCGTGTGTGCGTGCGTGCGTGCGTGTGCACGTACACGTGCGTGCATGCGTGCGTGCGTGCGTGTGTGCGCTCGTGTGCATATGCACGTAGACGTGCATGCGTGCGTGTGTACCCACACGTGCGTGCATGCGTGCGTGCGTGTGTGCGCGCGTGTGCAGGTAGACGTTCGTGCGTGCGTGCGTGCTTGTGCAGGTACACGTGTGTGCATGTGTGCGTGCGCGCGTACGTGCGTGTGTGTGTGCAGGTACACGTGCGCGCGTGCGTGCATGCATGTGCACGTAGACACACCCACCGATGATCAGTCAGTCGGTCTACTAATACAGTCCCAACTAAAGTGCAGCTATCTATACATATGCAGTTAACAACGTTACATAGGCATAGATCTAATGACAAACCTGGATGTCCTTCTCCGACGGATTCGGACGTGAAGAGAAACGTCTCCCCATTGCTCCCGCCCATGAGTAGATCCTTCAGTTTTGCGCTCATGCTTGCCATCGGTGACACTTGCAGCGACAACTAACTCGGTGGGGTATCGACAGGTGATCTGCGGATGTAACTGTTCCACGCCCGCGCTCCGCTGCTTATAATATGCTGACGGCCGCACTTTGGCCGCCGGCTTATATATATGATAGGGTGCATAATGCGATAACCGGGTGGGTCACGTGACGCGGTGACCTTGCACCTCGCAGAGATATATCATCCCCGAACTGCGTCGAACCTGCATGACTATGCGAAAATCGAGCGTCATTATTGTCGGATAGGCCAACAATACAGGATGCCCGTACCAACGGATTCTGACCCGATTCTTGGAACTGATGCAATACGGGAACGTGCTCAGCGCAGTCACTGGCGCACGACAGCTGTGACAATTAGCCTGCGGGTGGGCAGTGTAATATGTGCTGCGTCATCACGAATAGGCACTTTCGCAGCTAGGAACCAAACCTGTTGCAAAGAATCAATGAATTCACCCTTGAAACGCAGCTTTAGAATCGAGTGTCCTTCTCACCACGTTTTTGTAGCAGTAGATTCCTATGAAATTAGCAAGTCATAGGTGTGATTTCTCAGCTTTATCTGATCTGGCCTTATATTACGTTATGGTAAACCGAGTTTTTTGCATGTGCAAAAATTGACTCTTGGCTAATTATTTGCAATGTATCTAAATGTGACCGGATATTGCCTGTTTTTTATCATTTGACTGTCTATATCTGTATAATTAAGTATACTTATTATAACAATGTATGACACCAGAAGATATAAGAGAAAAGGTCACATTAATGATGAATACTCAGTACAGCTTGCAATCATAATGAGTAATCATAAGGTTTGTCGTAATTTTAGTATCTGTAATTTCCAGTATTATTATCTATTATTTTACAAGGAGCCGTTGTGATGCACATGTGAACATATTTACATGCAACGTGTGCAGCATAAATCAATAAATTACTTTTCCAGCTCACTGCTTAGTTAAATAATTACTCATCTGAACATAATTTACGAGGAATGAAGGTCACCATTATTATTTGGTATATGTATATGGATCAGGCCCGTAGGAATTGGGGGGGGGGCAAGGGGGGCACCTGCCCCTCAATAATTTCCAGAAATTTGTTTAAGTTAATTATATATAGTTATTAATATACAGCCACTATAAAAAAAAACGCAGCGATGGCTCAATGGGAGACTGCTCGCCTCGCATGCGGAAGACTTGAAAAATGGTACACGTACACTGCTTCTCTGCTTAGCATTCAGCAAATAGAGATAGAGCGTGGAAAGTTAACTCGCAGTGCTACGAGTGGACTAACCTCCCCCCCCCCACACACACACGTACAACGCCCTGTACTATTTACTGCGAAATCAGCTGCGTGGCCTCGGGTTAAGGAAACGGAGATAGGCACCGTCCAATGCGCCACATTATACATATAGGCGCGGGAATGATTTAACTAAAAAAAAAACAGTTTTCAACATTAATACATTGATTTGTCTCGGACAAGTGCACACGTGCACGTTTCATTCTTTTTATCCCAGCATGCATGTATAATGTAACATTTGCAATGCCAGAATGCAGGAGAAAGCGCCATTTCAATATTGAAAATTCACAAATTTTCTATTCCAGAACTTTTCATAACTTCCAGTCCCCACACCGCCCACCCCAACCCCCATCTCGGCGCTACGCGCATCGCAGACTCGCAAGCGCGTCTATAACCCATTACCACCCAATGTCATATACCTTCCTACGGGCCTGATATGCATGCATCAAAAATGTTAAAAAATAATGTTCGTTTTCCTCAGTCAAAAGCAAAGTCAAAAGTATCAAAATTTTGTTCTAAACTGATTAAAACGACAATAAAATATAAAAAACAATTTGTGACGTCCCCAAGTTAGCATTCCATTGTATTCTACCATTGTCTCTGTCATATGTATACATATATGTGTATCCGACTTGACGTTAAACCTTCTCATTATTTTATCCACTATACTTGTACGCTGTATGCAACTGCGCAGGCTAACGATACAAACGAACTTTTCCCGATTGCAATGCTTAGATTGTCGGACTCGAGGTGATTATATCAATATATGTGTTAGGACAGAAAATGGCCACGTATGAAAATAAGGGTTTTTTATAATGAAATTATTGACTTTATTACATTAGTTTCATCGTCGACGATTCAGATAGGTGCTTCCATCATTACCGTTACTATATTGACCTCTATGTATTGCAGGCGATTACTTTTTATGACGGCACATTATGTAAGACATTTCTCTGCTATGCATATATATATATATCATGTCATTATTCGTTTTCACGCAGGACATTTAGTTCAAGGGCTCTTGTTAAAGTAGCCAGGGAACGCTCAGATGCCCATTTTCACAAATTTGTCACCGCCCTGACAGAGTCTTCTGCCTTCAATGCCGTTATTATGTGCACAATACTTCTCAACTCGCTCTTCATGGCATTAGAGACTGACGCTGATCTTAAAGAGAACAAGGTATGTATAGCTTTTTATCTTAATATTTTGCGTCAAATGGACAAAGTGACTAGTAAAATTAACTGCAACTATGCCGCAACGTAAACAGCATACATAGAGCGCCGAAATATTGCCTGCCAACGCTTGCGTGCGTAAATTGTGTGTTGGTATTTTGCAAATAATACTAGTACTGAGTGTGTGTGGCACACACGCGCACATGCGGCCGAACACAAACGCGCGCGCGCGCAGTCGCTATCTCGTAGAATTCTGAAACGCGTCCAGTGTTTAATTTAAATGACTAGATATTACGTATTACGTGCGGTTTGTCATATTTCCCAGCGCGCCCTATTCACTATCGCGGACGAGGTTTTTCTGGCGATCTACACGGTCGAGTTTATACTGAAGATTTATGCGGAACCGAAGAACTACTGGAAGAGCAGCTACAATCTATTCGATGTCACGGTGCTGGCGATCTCTTGGATACAGGTAACGAGGCGTCAACTTGCGATGAAGAACGTACATGGGATAAACTATAGCCACAGGTACATGCATGCTGTTGCATAAAAAACCTTACACGGACGTGAGAAACATCACACAGAGATGAGTTTCTACTCATCGCTCTGTTCGGTCCATGCGATTAAAGATTAGGTAACGCCGACTTCAATGGGCCTATAAACATGGGCCTATATATAATCCATTTCTTGATGAGAAAAATAAAATTTACGATAACAGATATGGATAACGAAACTGCGAACTACGCGTATCGATAACCATCTCTTTTCACAGATGGGATTATCACAGATCGAGTCGGACAGCGGTGGCAATGATGACTCCCAGTGGCAAGCCCTCCGCATCCTACGAGTGCTGCGTACGCTGCGAACTCTACGCACGATCTCATTTATCCGTGGATTACAGGTACACATTATTCCGCACGCCCTCATCTACGTTATTATGCGGGGTACATTGTACGGCACTGTCTATTGCTTATATAAGCAAACTGCATCACGCCACGATTTCTAATATCCAATGCTAACAGGTACAGTACATCACACAAACGCACGCGGGCTCACGCACGCATCACACGCACGCAAGACTTGTTTTTCGTCAGCATTTATGAACGGTATCACCGCTTTGCCTTTCCTTCTGGGCCACATATACTCTTCGCAAGGATGTGTAGGATAAGCTTGCTTGAACATTGTTTTTCCCATGCTTACGCGGTACCATAGATGGTGTACGGCTAATAATATCGATCTATTCCTCCCCCGTTTACTGGAAGTCAAAACTATTGTCATAATTTAACGTTCACGAGTAAACTTGCACTAGATAATGCCACCAAACTACCAGAACTGTGGATCGTATGGAAGATGTAACATACCATGTTTCTTTCAAAAACGGCCCTAGCCGTGTGTATATATATATATATATATATATATATATATATATATATAATTTATTTGTTTATATCGAACATATTCTCTTGTTAGGTAAACCAAAGTTCATTAAACGAAGCATATTATCGAAAGTGTAAAAAAAAGTTTTTATTCACTCCTCATGAGTATGTCTAACACAGGTCCTGGTCACGGCTTTGATGGACACCATTCGAACGTCGGTCATTAACATTATCATGTTGCTGCTACTGATGATGTTTCTCTTCGCCATCATGGGCTACTACTTCTTCGGCTACAAGGCCGATAGCGACAAGGAGCACTGGGGCACATTGGGCGACGGCATGTTGACGCTCTTCACCTTCGTTACGGTACGGGTGTTACCTGCGGTACGGTACGGGTGTTACCTACGGTACGGTACGGGTGTTACCTACGGTACGGTACGGGTGTTACCTACGGTACGGTACGGGTGTTACCTGCGGTACGGTACGGGCGTTACCTACGGTACAATTCGCGCGTTGTCGTGAACACGGATGATGAAAGAACACACACATATACACACAGACAAACACACACATACACACACACACACGCGTGCACGCATACACACACACACACACAACGATGCAGTAGGCTACTTGCAATTTTATCACAAATAAAAATGTGATACAATGGCCTCTAAAATCACACGTAATTGAAGTTTACGTTCATGCCCCCTGGCTTCAAATCCCTGGCTTTAATTCTGAGGGTTAGTTGTTTGAAGCCAGGGGGCATGAACGTAAACTTCAATTACGTGTGATTTTAGAGGCAATTGTATCACATTTTCATTTGTGATAAAATTGCAAGTAGCCTACTGCATCGTTGTGTGTGCGTGTGTGTGTGTGTGTGTGTGTGTGTGTGTGTGTGTGTGTGTGTGTGTGTGTGTGCGTGTGTGTGTGTGTGCGTGTGTATATGTGTGTGTTTGTGTTTGTACGTGTGTATATGTGTTTGTTCTTTCGTCATCCGTGTTCATGGCAACGTGCGAATTGTTTGAATCATTCCTTTTCGATTATATCTATAATCTATAACGCATTGTAGTTGTATTACGATTCTATTCCAATGTCTGCTGACCTGATGAAGAGATGTAATTTCGAAAGCTTGTGAATTAAAATTTTAACACCCTTATTCTATACTTTGACTTTGTTTTTATCTGCATGGGTGTTCGTGTCTGTGTGACTTTACTTCTATATATATACATATAAATCAGGGGTTAATATTAACCCCTGATATATATATATGTATACTACAACTACAAGAACCAACTCTGTCTAAGAGAGAGAGGGGGGGAGAGGAGGAGAGGAAGAAGAAAGATGCCCTAATGGTGGATCATTTCATTTAGCTTTTAAAGGAATTTCAAGTATTCCATTTTGTCTGACATCTCGGCATTTATTTCATATACGTATGAATTGTATACGTATCAAACACGTATTTATTTCATATTTAATTGAAATCGACATCCTCGTTCACTGTCTATTGTTTATGTTATCTGATAGGTCGATGGATGGACAGATTTGCAGAATGCACTGGATTCGAAGAATCAAACAGGCAGCCGCTACTATACAGTTTTGTTTATCTTTCTTGGCCACTTCATCTTCACCAACGTCTTCATTGGCGTTATCATCATGAACATAAGCGAGGCAACAGAAAGCTACGAGGTGCCAGCCTGATCCAGTAGAGGATATGTTATGCTACCTATATTCTTATGCCTATTGACCGTGATATACAAGATATGCGCTACTACAGCTCAAAAATCCCGAGACACTCTCACGACATTACATTTGCTTTTGAGCGTTTCGTTGTGTTCGTTCAACCTGAAGAATCACGTCCCCTAAAGTCATTATAAAGACATGCTTTGAATCACATTATGCCAAAAGCTTTTAACCCCGCTAACGTTTGAGCTAATTCGATTTCATTTTCACTAATCATAGCATGCCTTACTACAATACGCAGTACTGTATAGTTGCACTTTTACTTCTTCCTATAGAAAAACTAGGGGGTCGAAGCTTATCTCTCCCTGTAGGCCTAGGTGTGGCAACATGACAGGTTACTTTCATTTTCTTGCTGGCAGAATGAATTGCGGATAGAGCGTGAAGCCATCGTGAAGCACAAAAAGATGTACATGATCCAGCGACAGCACCAAGATGTCCAGCAGATGATGCAGAAACAGGTTAGATAAGCATAGCAACTCACATAGTTACTCTCACTTCAGGGTAAAATCATGTTTAGACTGCCAGTGAATAGTCAAATGCACGGCATTCTCGCTCTTGCCTGCAAAAGTCCACCTATTTTACAGGCATCTTCCAACTATAAGAACTTCAACGACATGGTGGAAGACTTTCAAAACACGCTGCGCCATGACGACTACATAATGATGGTGGATATGTGCACGAACCTGACGTGGATGGAAACGCTGTCACGGACCCTCGACCACATAGATAACACTATGTATCGGTACGTACCTGCCCCCTCCCCCCCCCACGCGCCCGGTCCATACGTTTCAATGACTCTTGCACACCTGCCATCGCATCTCTCTCATGTACGCCTGCCTTCAGCATTTTAAAACCCTACTTATACATGTGCACTGCTGGCAAAGTCTCATTCACGGCCTCGAATTTCACATCTCACGCACGTACGTTTACCTAGCTTGCCTCACACATCTCTTTCATGCATAGATACTGGGTTCCACATCTCACGTCCTATGGGTGCATGCGCAAGATTACTCCTACTTACTTTTATATGTCGTTGTTAGAATGTTAACGTTTTTACAATATCATTACCTATCAACGTGACCATATTGTAACGTGAACTACACAGGTGCCGAATTCTGATAATGCCGATAAATTGTCAGATTAGTCCAAATACAATGCAAGACTCTGAAGGGTAGCAGCAATTCTCTGAGCTTGACTCCACTCACTCCTATACACCATATATAACCTACATTTTTTCGGCAGCTTCAAAACATGCAGTTTGTTTGTGACTTTGATTCTTACTATCTCGCAGGCGTGTGTACAATCATTATGCTGCTAGACTAACCACGTTTACGTTTCAGTTTGCAGCAGCTTCAGTTTGAGATTGTGAACTTGCTGGCACATCAGATGGAAACAAAGCTCAAGAAAAGATATGGCCTGTGATCACAGTTGCACATTGCTTACAAAACAAACAATTACTTATAATTACTGTACGAATATAGCTTATATATCAAACGGTTTCCTGTTTCAAATGAATACGTGTCTGGTTCATATATTCACAACACAGGCACAAAATTATCAAGCTATCCATCAGAAACCCACTATTTATTGATCATGTAGCTATGAGTAAATGCAATACACTATACGTGACATTTAAAAAAAAAAAAATTTCCAACTTCATCATGATACTATATAAAAGCAAATTATACTATGCAAAATTACTATTGCAGTGGGCCTTACGATGAAAAAACAACAAAACCACATTTTAACACTGTGTTCTGAATTTTTTTCTTTTAAATTGAGCAAATGAGAAACTTGAGCCATCCCAAATTTTGCCATTATTTTGAAACACGTAAAATATAGAAAATAAATGTAGAAATATAGAATAAGGTGTCAAATTTAAATGTCTCTTCATCAGGCTATACAAAAACAAACTATTTGTTAAAAACAACCTGGTTGTTTTTGTATAACCTGATGAACAGAATTACTCTCGAAAACTCGCTAATTAAAATTTGACACCTCATTCTATTTTTCTATATTTATTTTCTATATATATATATACGAAATGTAATTTTAGTAGAACTTCATATAGACATGTTAGAGACAATTTAGCTGTAAAAAATTAAACCTTTTCACATTATTCATATCTTATGCTTATACCATTATTTAGCACTAAAAAGTATGTTATGTTAATTTATGATACAAGAATTTTAAAGGCACCTTCCTTTGATGTAGGAACTTTTACGCATTCGTAAACTTTTCAATGATTATCTGGTGTTGAGGAAATATCTTGACCATTTCTTTCCTTGTCAACATTTCCATATCACGTTGGTCAAAACCTTGAAAAATTAAAGATTTATGCAATATATGAAATAGGTGTTCATGAATATGATAATACTGAAACAACAGTGGTTTTAAGTTTTTTCTACTGCTGCAATGATGAGTGTACACCTAACAAAAATTACAATTATCCATAAACACCAGGCTACTAGAAATTTTTATTGAGATTTATCCTGACGAAATATTTTTTGCAACCGACCTGTTGTCTCTGTCAAGCTGTTGTCTTCGTTAAGGTAACGAACAATTTAGCGGGATATACACTGGTTGTCCTAACTAGCGTGTCGGTGTTGTATTAATGATTTATCGTGTAATAAACATGTTTAATATTGACAATTAAATCTGATCACAATACGCCCAAACACCAACCCAGTTAATATGAGCTCTCGTGCTACTTTAAGAAACATTCAGTGTGTGTCATATTGACGTTATATGGTTATTGAGGCATTGGGATATGTAACGTACCCAACAAATCACGTACAGCAGTGAAGAAACACAACCAATTTTTTTCAACAAGACATAAGCCTTGCCAACCATGGTTTTACCTATCACAAAGATTTGTAGATTCTATAACCTTCAAACTCAAAGTGGGTAACTCTATGAACTGTAGCCCATTGTACACATACCAGGCACGCAGCAACTTATTGCCAATGTGTAGGATGCCTTGTCCTTCATATCAAGTGCGAACCATGTGTCAGGCGGAATGACGCAGTCTAATGATGACTCAGCATCAACAAACGGATCACCAAGTTGCTGCAGATGATAGGTGCCATCTGGCAGAATCATGTGAATCTGTAAAATTATAAACATCATATGACAACATATTATGATGACCATGATATAAAGATTTATATTCTTCTCTTACGCTTGTTTGTCTTATTTTTTGTCGCATCCCATTTTGTAGTGAACTAAGTAGTGGAAGTGTGTTAAATGTAAATTAACGGGAAATGTGGAAAGTGTTAGATGTAACACAGACAGCCATCGTCGTATCGACGGGCAGCTTCCACTCCATTATCCAAGTGGTGGATCAAAACACAAATTTCATACTATGTGATTAGTTAGTTGACCGTGACCAAATGCTAAATAACAACCCAACCTATGTCAATTAAAAGAAGATGTATGCCACACAATTACAGGTTCAGAATAGATTGTTCACAATTCTGAAGTTTTAAATGCTCGGAAAACCAGATGTTTTTTGGTGGAACGTGACTCGTGTGCACGGCATGAACCTAGTGGCACCTCTAATGTACTGTATCTAGTAGACTAAATTGTGCTATAGTGACACTGTTGAATAAAGATTACTTGCTTATGTATGTCAGCACAAATACATGGTGTTGTAGTAATGTGCCTTACCAGCCAAGACAATATCGGCAACACAAGACATAACAGCACTGAACCAGTAACAACACTACCAAGCACCACAACGCCAACAGTGTGCTAGAGTATTTATAGTCTATATTTATTCCAGTCAGTGTGAATAGTCTCCGTGTAGCTAGTAAAGTGTTAACTTTCTGGGTGCTGCCACACGCCCAGCTATGGTGCTACCATAATATATGGCATATTTTGTTTCTGAAATTACAAAATTCTGGATTCCAAAGAAGTTGGATATGGGATTGCAGACCTATATTTACAATAGTGTCGCATAACATATGGATTAATGACGCTGAGAGGGTCTATGTCCCCCAGGGTACTGCCGGAACGTACCCTGGGTACGGTCCGGTATAATACCGGAAGTTCGGAACGTACCCTGGTACTATCTAATATGCCGGACCATACCTCGCCTACTCCACTAACGAGTCTAGGGAGTCGCCTACGCCTCCTCCCTAACCCTAACCCTAACCCTAACCATATCAGATAGTTACCAGGGTACGTTCCGGTATACCGGACCGTACCCAGGGTACGTTCCGGCAGTACCCTGGGGGACATAGACCCTAGATGAGCATTAATGACCTGTAATGTTCCCCCTTTATGATGTGTCCAAAATTCCTGTGTACCTTTCATCCTATGCCAGGGACTCCAGTCAGTTGTTTCCAAGAGATAATAAATGTCTGTATAACAAAAAAATGTACTTTTTTTAAGCATGTGCATTCTGAAAAACTGATCTCACACATGACAACCCTAACAAATATAGAAACAGTTATATGCATATGAGTACCCTGACATTAAGAAACTGTGTAGACACGTTTTCTTTCAAAAATAACTGATGCATCAGTGCCACCATAAAGTTACATTAAGATACCATACATCTCAAACATATAGTTATGCGAGTTCTGGGTCTTAGTAAAATGAAAAGCCTGTCAACGTCCATTAATCATAACAGGTGCTGCATAAACTAAATAGTTATACATACATGCACACACGCACGCACGCACGCACGCACACACGCACGCACGCAAGCACGCACACACGCACACACACACACACACACAAACACACGCACACACACGCACACACACGCACACATATATGATATATATATATACACATATACACACATATATATATATGTATGTATGTATAAAACATGTTTAATTATCCATACATTGTACTAAACAACATTTGATATAGCTTCACATACATGAGAACGTTTCTCTCTCCTCGCCTTGGTGTGTTGAACTATAATTATTACAGGGAGAATCAAACACCAATCGCCAATAGCCATTTTCAATAGGATGCCGTTGAAGGTTGAGAGCTTTAATAATGGTTTCAACATCACTGCTAAATCTAAAAGAATAGAATATATACATCATGTCCACATATACGTCTTACAGCAAATATGATTTTCCCATGGTATATATTTACTAAAGATAAAAATATAAATTTTGTGTAAACTCTATTAAAGTTTGCTTCTTTGAGTTTACAGTCCTCAAAACAGTTGGCACTAGAATGTTTTGACCTAATCTAAAACAATTTTGACCAATCAGGTCACAGTGCGATATTCTCTGTGCCCACTCAGGCTGAGAGGGTCTATGTCCCCCGGGGTACTGCCGGAACATACGCTGGTACTATCTAATATGCCGGACCGTACCTCGCCTACTCCACTAACGAGTCTAGGGAGTCGCCTACGCCTACTCCCTAACCCTAACCGGGAGCTAACCCTAACCCTAATCCTAACCCTAAGGCCTAACCATATCAAATAGTGACCAGGGTACGTTCCGGTATACCAGACCGTACCCAGGGTACGTTCCGGCAGTACCCTGGGGGACATAGACCCTATGAGCCCAACTCAGAGCAGAAAAAATACATGTGCAGTGCTAATATAGTAATAGACCCGTTACTAATAACCGACCAGGAACACACCTATAACCAATACGCGGCACCATCTACCACTGCTCAAATGTGAAAGAAGACACTCCACCTTCAAACATATGACTAAATTAGGCATCTATATATGCATTACTATATATATGAAAATAAACAATGTATGTAAAGACAGACAGGTTTTCTAAGACAACAAGGTTGAGCTGACAGTTACCAGAAGACGAAATGAAGCAGTCTTACTACCTTGCCATGTTTTATCAGCGATGCTCTTTCACAGTGAGTCACAACTCTTTTTATGTCCAATTCCAGTGGTAACGTCTGATGGATCTTAATGAATGGTAATGCTAGCAGCGGGTGTGTCTAACATTTCTTTGAGGAAAAAACATCGAAGTAAGATTAACATTCTCACATTCAAGCCTGACACACAAGAACAATTTTTAATGTAAGAACCTTTAATAAAAATCACAAAGTGAATACACAAGCACACACTTTTATGTGTGCACCTGCTTGCACTGCATTGCAGTGGGCTAGGTCGTGTGAAGACATGAGTTATACCTGAAACCTACAATCTCGAGTTATGTGCAATACCAATATGCTGAGTGCGAGCAACGCTGATTGGGCAGTTGGGCCACATCTATTACCCATCTGATTACAGTGACTAGATTGTGAATGCCTATTTTCTTTTAAAAAGCAATGTAGTTTTGTGTATAAAATATGGAAAGTACACTAACTCTGACTTCAGCACTATTGTGACACTGATAGTTTACAAGCAGTGCACAAAATACTATTACTCGAGTAATATGATAACAAAGAGACCGCCATCGTGACAGTACTGTCGCTGTTTACATTTTATTCCCAGAGGTGCCAGAGGCATTCTTTGTTCCTAGAAGAACATATTTGCATTATGATATAAATATAGGCATCCTGCACTAAACTACATATTTCTGCTGCAGACAGTCTTGGGCAAGCATCGCTTTGCCTCTAGGCTATGGTAAGTGGAAGTTCTTAAGCACTGCCCTTTTGAGTTCAAAATATTTTCTCATTTATGTACATATAGACAGTTCAGTGTGTACCAGTGAACGTCTCACTTCAAAACCATACATATCAATGAACAGTTACCCAAAGTGCTTTTTTAATTGGCTGTGGCTACGGGTACGGCAGCCGTATCTTAATGTCTCGAGGCTGGAGGTACGGCAGTCCATTCGCTTTCATACTTAACGAGAACAAGTGCCGCAGAGCGACAGCGCTCATCTAACGTCTACTGCGGTGACTCTGTGGT